ATGGGAGCTGCAGTGTGGACACATCTCTGAGTGTGGAGTGACCCCAGTGCTGGAGTGAGTGAGGCCAGAGGGATTTCAGTCCTTGTTGGCCTCCAGGGCTCCAAGTGGGACCTCTTGGGCTGGGGGCTGCAAAGGAGCAGTGATTTTATAGGAAGGGAGGGGTGTGGGGGGCTGAACTCCCATTTTTCTGAGGGAATGGGATGAACTCCCGTTTTTCCAATGGAATAGGACCCCACAGTAAATCCCTCACTGAGTGTATTTAGTGTCCCAGGACGTTCCTTTGGTGGAGCCAGAGCAGTATGAGCACTTTGATTCCAGTTTCTGGTGTGTCACCTTTGGAATTTGGGCAGCCACGGACCCAGTTTCCAGTCCTTTATTTCAAAGTTCAAATTGTTGAACTTTGAAAAAAATTTCAACAATTTATTTACTTTATTTTCTGCCCAGGTACAGCCTCCTGCCTTAACCCCAGTCTGAGCCCAGCAGGGACACAGCCTCCCTGCCTATTACCAAAATCACGGCTTAATTTGAGCTCATTTCTTTTGTTGAGATGCAAAACTAATTATATTGAACTACAGATGAACAGGAAGTTGCATTAGCAAATTTGTTGTGTTGTTTTTTGTTTTTTTTTTTTAATCAATGGGGAATTATTCAGCATTTTTTGGGGGCTGGGGAACTTTATAAGCAGATAAAAGATATGGGGGAGGGCAGAGCTATAAAAAGTGTTATTGTGTGATTATGAAGAGGCCTTTTAATGCAGTTATTATGTGATGCTAAAAAGGCCTTTATTGCTTGAAGTTGGAAGCAGAATACAAATGGGCTCACAGTGTCTATTAAATGAAGAGTGGAAAAAATAGTCCCCATTTCCCTGAACTGCAAAGCAAAAATACCGGATTAAATAGCGATTAAAATCAGCAGTGCTGGCTTTGTCAGCGTGAGGGTTTGTGAGATTCCAGGCACAGCCCATTGTTCTGGGGACCTGTTTGTCCAGGTGACAGTGGCAGCAAATCCTGCTCCAGCCACACTGAGCTCTCCCCAGGTGAAATGAGGACAGAGGAGCTGCAGCGCCTCACTCACAGGGATGCTTCCCTCTCCTGCAGCTGAATTCCAAAAGTCACCTGCAGCTTCTGTGCCTGGAGCTGCTGGACAAGCCCTGAAGGTGGCTTTGGGCACACCTTGCTTCATATTGGGGTGTCCCTCTCCTGAAGGTGGCTTTGGGCACACCTTGCTTTATTTTGGGGTGTCCCTCCCCTGAAGGTGGCTTTGGGCACACCTTGCTTTATTTTGAGGTGTCCTTTCCCTGAAGGTGGCTTTGGGCACACTTATCTTTATTTTGGGATGTTCTTCCCCTGAACATGGCTTTGGGCACATCTTTATTTTGGTTTGTTCCTCCCCTGAAGGTGGTTTGCTTTATTTTGGGGTGTCCCTCCCCTAAAGGTGGCTTAGGGCACACCTTTTGTCCCTAATTTCCTCTCCAGGGATCTGTAGGACAAAGTGTTTGCAAACCAGGGCTAGGGCAGCCCCACAGCCTGTCCAGAATCCCCCAAAGAGCCACCAGGAGAAGCCAGGAGAGACTGGGGATAAAAAAAAGCCAGGTAGAATTGTGCTCCTCCGCATCTCTGGCGGAACAGAAACGTTGGGATTTCTCATCCTGTGTCTTTAATTGCTCCCCTGGGTGTGTTTGTGCATAGGTGAGCACTGGGAGCTCCCAATCCTGATGGAGAAGGGATGGAATTGGCTCTTGGGATCAACCTCAGTGCACCTGAGCATCCTGTTCTGGAGGTTGTTTGTTTATCCTGGGGGTCTCATGGCAATTCCTATGTTTGAAAAGTGCCTTCCTGGAGTTAGGAGCAATCCCAGGAGGTTTTCCTGTGCCTCCCTCACACTGGGATGATGTTCAAGGAAGGAATTGCTGCCCCTCTGCAGAGCCTTTGCAGAAATGCTGTGCCTTCCTCCACTAATGATGGGATTTTGTGGTAACTTTGCAGCTGGGGGAGCAGAGGGAGCACTGACAGAACCAGCAATGTCCTTCTTTCTCTCCTCTCTGAAAGTTTTGCCTTCCCAGGGGCGGTTTCCAGGTTTTATTCTCTTGAAAATCACCCAGCACTTCACTGCACAGAAGGAGCTGAGCCCTTGGGTTAAAAAAGCCCAAAAGCAGGAAAGTCTGAGAGCTGGGTGTTGCTGCCTGGGCTCAGACCTGCTGCCTGGCCCTTCTGGCTGTATTTCCAGTGAGGTGTTCCCAGGCTGTGTGATGATTTCCTCCCGTTGTGTGCAGCTGCTGTGGCACAGCCAGGCTGAAGGAAGCTGTAAGGAAAAGCTGAATTTGGGGTGATGGAGAGTTCAGTGCTTCCCACAGAGCCTGGAGCAGAAATCACCTGGGGATGGAATCAAAGGCATGACCCAGCCCAGGCAGGGCTGCGTGTGCAGAGTGTGGGGAGGGAAACGGGGCACAATTTCTGTCAGATCTCCGTGAGCTCGCAGCCCTTTCAGCTGAGCAGAAAAGTGCTCTGAAACCCTTCCTTGGGCTGGTTTGCCCAGCTCCTTTCTGTGGCTCAGGAGGTCCAGGGCTGCTGGGATGTCCCTGCAGGACGTGCAGCCCTCCCTGTGAGCCCGGCCAATGCTCAGCACTCCCAGCTCTGCTTCCAGCTGGCATCTTGGGGTTTGGGATCTATCAGGGCAGCCTGATGAACCCCAGAGAGGAGAGCCAGGAAAGTGCAGGCAATTTGGGTTGGTTTGATTTTTTAAGATTTTTCTAAAGCTTTTTGAGTTTACATTTTTGCAGTAACCTTTCTCACACACCTTATGTAAATAACTTACTATTTTTGCATTTTTTCACAGAGGCAGAGAAATGTGAAGGATTGGTAGTTTGTTTAGTGTCATTAGAGAGGTGGTATTTTCACTCTAATCCACTGTCACCTTTGAAAAAGTATAAATGCTGGAGTCAGAAAAAATAAACTAACTTTTTTACCTCAACAATAGCAGTTGTTTGTGTCATGTCCTGCAGTGACCACCTTGCACTGGGATTATCCCAGCTCCCATTGCTGCTTCCAGACTTCTCCTGGGGAGAAGCACTGTGCAGGGTGCTTGCTGGCTGAAGGAATGTGCTCAGAAATTCCTGCTACTCCTGTGCTTTAGGAGGAGGGCAGGCAGTGCTCCCTCAGCTGTGGGAGCTGCAGACCCAGGGCCTGACCCCCATCCATGTTTGCTTTCCCCAGCACTTGAAGGAATGTTGCCACTGGCACACGCAGCCAGGCTTTCATTCCTCAAGCAGTGCTCGTTTCTTCTAACCCCAGGTGTGCTTGGCAGCTGAAATCGTGCCTCTGTGGTCTGGAGGTAAAATTAGCTGCTCTGGGAGAGGGATTTTCATATTTTCATGCACTACATGAAAGCACGGAGGGTGTTTTCCAAAGAAAACCTATTTTGGCGTCCCCAAATTCAACTTGACCCGGGCTTGTTAGGCCGCAGATCTGCTGTGGAATTAAGCTATAGCTGGAGGAGAGCCAGAATCCAATTAGATTTTCTGCCTAATGGGTCATAATTTATACAATGAAGAAGAAGGCAGGGATGATGCTGGGGGAAAAGGGCACTGTGCTTGTGGGTGTGCACTGGGAGGGGCTGCTGGTAAATGGGAATGGGCAGGACAGGGATGCTGTCCTTTGGTGTTTAGAGCCTTTCTCGGGTGTTTAAAACCTTGTTCTGGTGTTTAAAACCTTGCTCTGGTGTTTAAAACCTTGCTCTTGTGTTTAAAACCTTGCTCTTTTGTGTTTAAAACCTTGTTCTGGTGTTTAAAACCTTGCTCCCATGTCTAAAACCCTTCTCTCTTGTTTAAAACCTTCCTCTCATGTTTAAAGCCTTCCTCTGTTGTCTAAAAGCAGCAATTCAGATCAGAAAACAGGTGTCATCCTGGGCTGCAAATTGGAGGAGGGGTCCCTGGGGTTTGTAAGGCTGGCAGAGAGTTTTTGCTGGAGCCCACAGCCCCGTTTGACCATGCCCATTCCCTTCCCAGCCTCTCTCCAGGTGGACATCGTTCCAAGCCAGGGGGAGATCAGCGTTGGAGAATCCAAGTTCTTCTTGTGTCAAGGTGCGTGCTTGGCTGCAGGCCCTGTGCTGGTTTGCTCA